ATTTTGCAAGACACTTATTTCAAGGATCTAAAACAGAGTTTGTGGCTAACAGTAAACAACTTCTATAGTTCAGACGCCTAGTTCTAAATTTCATGCCAGTTTTAAATTTCGGTCTACCTTTATATGACAGGTTTCTATCTGTACTAGGCATTAGTGTTTAGCAATGAACTATGTTAGAGTCAGATTTTTTAAATATCCAAGAACAAGGCAGCAAGAGACTGATTTGATTGTAGTTATTTTTCCATAAAGTTTCAACAGACCCATAAGGATAGAAATTGATCTGGGCCTGGTTTTAGTAGGATTAGCACTTCACAGCCAGGGCATGGTTCTTCCTATGGGTTGAACTGAGAAAATAACAGTAACAGCTTTTCTAATCAGAGATATGGATATCAGGCATTCCTCTGGTAATCTTGCAACACATCAAGGGAAGATTTCATGGACAAGAAAATAATAGGAGGAATTGTTTGGCACCAGATGGCATAGTTAGCAGAGTGGATTGGTAACAGAATCATCACCCCACAACACTTCCGGCATTTCTTGAAATGTAAGATTAATAACCTGGCCAGGATGCTAAGATGAAATTCTTCACTCCTATCTACTAGTAATCTTGCACAATAATCCTGTGTTACATAAAATGACAGCACAGTCTTCCCCGATGATCAACACTCTCCTTGATTTCCTCCCTCCACTTCTTTCTGTTGCATTCTGCTCCTTTTACTCACCGCACTGTTATTTACTGAGTTCACCTCCTCACATCTGTGCCATTTTTCACACGCTAGCAACACATTCCCAAAGCCTCTCCATGCGCTGCCACTAACATTCTCCCTTGGCTTTCTCGATGGGAAAGCTCGTGAACAACAGCAAGGCAAAGGACTGAAGGAGGAAGAACCTACATTCAGGCACTGTCTATGTCATGGAGGAAGTCAAAGAGTCTATGATGAGCGTGGCTTACCCGGAGAATGGTGAGGCTGGGAAGGCAAGCTCTGCAGCTCCAAGATTTTAGTTTTACACTCTTTCACATCTCACCAAAAGCTCATCGTCACCCCCTTCCTGACTGAATGAAGTTCCTTTCAGCAGCCATCCATCAGTCTATGCTCATCTTTGACAGTAAGGGTCCAATTATTCCCTTCCTAGATTTGGTCAAAGAGGTCCCAAGAAGGGGAAATAATTGGGTAAGTTGGTCCTGGAGAGAAACTCAACTCTTTCTCTCCACCATTATAATTACGTTCCAGGTAAGAAAGTCCACTGGTAACTTTCTCAACCCATTATGAATTAAGGCTCTTCGGGTGGTCAACTAATGGCTACTTAAAGGCTTCTCCTCATTACGTCCATAATCTTTAGCAGGCAAGAAAGGTACCGAGTTACATGAATTAGTGAACAGGGTGACCTCCCCACCAGGATTGGGGTGGGGGTCTGCAATTTCACCAAGCAGATGCATGGATGAGGATGAGGGTGGTGCATGGTGTGGACTCTAAAAGACAACCCCCTTCCCTTGCCTCCCATATCCCCATGAATCCCACTCCACAAGGAGAACACAAAAAGCATTTACCCTCTTGTCAATGGATTACCCCAAGGAATAAGCCTTTGATCAAATTGGCCAGCAGCTTCTGAAAGCCCCAGCTTACCAGTGTCAAGGCCTGTGTTTTCCTGCCCAGCTTGCCACAGACTTCAAAAATAAGTTTAGAATTCTAACTAAATACTAATCCTCAGATCCCTCTTCCATTTAAGCTGAAGTATGTGCATTGTGTCTGGAGGCTGAGGGCTGGGAGAAGACACTGTCAGTTGATGTTACCTCAAGAACCTACTCAGAGATTCACATTGCATACACTTTAAAGCATACAGAGGTCTAAATATCATGCACAGTCAGAAAGCCCCAGATGTAGAATCACAGGATTGTGTGGAAGGATAACATTCAGACCATTATGTCTGCATTGGCTCTCCAAATGAGCAACTCATCTTGTGTCAATCTCCTGCCTTCACCATGTAACCATGCACATAGTTTTTGAAAAGGAGCAATCCAACAGACTTCTGAATGCCTCAATTGGACTAGGTCAGTTTGGGATGTCTGGTCAGCGCAGGCAAGTTGGATCAAAGGATTTGTTTTGGGGCTGTATGTCTCTATAATTCTAACTGAACCTGCTTCAACCACACTCTAAGACAATGAATTCTGGGCCCTAACCACTTGCTGCATGAAAATGATTTTCTACATGAATAGTATTGTTGTTTGGAATAATCTACAATGATTGCAAATTAAAACATTGGTCCAGGGCTATAACTGCAAGACACCACTATTTTAGTCTAAGGGGCTTTGCTTGAGGGCTTACGGTTTGTTAATTTGGAGACTCTCGTTCTTGTGAGCTCCATGCATAGGCTTCTGTATTTGTTCCCGGGTTCCCCTGCCAGGGTCTCATCCAGCTGCATAAGGGATATCCTTATCTTCAATGAGGGAGCCACTGACTTGATTGGCAGGCAAAGAGCATTAAGGAGTGTTGAAGGCATTGTAAGTCCTATCTGCCAGGGTGGCAAAATGGCTCAGCGGTTAGTGCTGCTGCTTCACAGTGCCAGGGACCCAGGTTCAATTCACCCTTAGGTGATTGTCTGTGTCAAGTTTGCACATTCTCCCTGTGTCTGCGTGAGTTCCCTCTGGATGCTCTGGTTTCTTCCACTGTGCAGTTTAGGTGTATTAACCATGCTAAATTGCCCTCAATGTCCAGGGATGAGCAGACTAGGCAGATTGGCCATGGTAAATTGCCCAGTGTCTAGGGATGCCCAGGTCAGGTGGATTAGCTACGGGAAATGCAAGGTTACAGGGATAGGTTCTTGGCGGGTCTAGGTAGTTTGCTCTTTAGAGGGTTGGAGCAGATTTAGTGGGCCAAATGGCCTCGTTCCACACTGTACAGATTCTATGATTTGGAAATTGGGCTCAGAGGTACTTTGTTCACAGCCTCTGGTCACGAAATAGCTGAACATTCAATGAAGAAAACCCCTTCCAGTTATGAAATGCTGTTAGTTTTTGACAGGTACAACATAGAGCGGTGTGTATGCAGACAGTGAGGTCTTGAACCTGAGGAAATGCAGCAACATAATCTGACAGCTTTCTCACTCTGATCAGCAGCATTTCTTGGGAAGGTGTTGCCTCCTTTCAAAAGAGGGCATCAATCACTGAATTGCTAATCGCAAGGGCAGAAAAAACAAATTAGAGTGTCTAACATTCCCCGTCACAGCCTGAAAACAGTTGTCAATATAGCGGTTCACAGTTCTAGGTAGTGCTGTGTGTTTCCAGTTCCTACAAGAATAGGTGGTGCGAGTCAGTGACTGCCTGTCTGCTGAAGGATAGCCTCCTCACGTGCTGTGTCTTCATCAGGTTGAGATGAAATAGCGTGTTGCAAAACCCCTGCATGTTGGAAGGTCTCCTAAACCCTTGCCTCATGATTTCTTGCTTCTCTATCCTTTTGTACCACTGGGCCTTTTGATACTTTTACTCTCCACTAAAAGTAACAGCCTTGATTCCAACTACATTCCTATCTTTCCCACTGAACAGCCTCAGACAGTGATGCATGTCCAATCTAAGTTAAATAATTAATTCATTGAGGACAATATCTAATAACAAGAATTAGAATATGTGCCTTTTGCTGCCATTAAGCTAATTTGGGCTGGGTGCTCTAGTAGTCTAAACACTTGTAACATCTACAGCTTTAACTAACTTCCTTCTTCAATTTTATTGATTCAAAACATCTTTCTCGATCTTTATTGCCACCAGGTTCATGAGATTTCACTGAAACTCATGAGTCACGGATATGTAACTCTGACAAAAGGATAAAAAAAAGAGTAACACATGGTTGATTCACTCACAAGAGAACATTGTTTGAGAGGTGTGTTTTGATATAGATGATAGGATCAGATTTAGAGACACCCAGGCAAAAGACACGGTTCTACAGTTTATATGTTGCTGCTCTTCCTTGCAGATCAAAACCAAGCAACATATAGCAGCAACACTTGAGAGGAACTGCAATAGTTGACAAGAAGGTGACATGCCACACCATGAGACTGCTGTGATTCTTAGCCTCACAATTCCCACAGTAAATCTACAACATTAAATACTTGGCACACAAAGTAATCCAATTAGTAAAAAAAAAATTCCAAAACTTTGACGGCTACAATGTTGTGATCAAATTACAAGCATAATTAATCCTCAAAGAATCAGTGGTTGAATGATAAATCTATCATGGCCATACATCAAACAACATGTCCTTGTTAAGATAATTTGACCAAGGGTGCTCCAGAAATCTGAACATCGTGCTGCATCTGCTGCTTTAATTACTTTCTCTCTTAGCAAATGAGCAAAAGAAAAACAACTGGTTGCTTCAAAGATCAATAAAACATCCCTGATGATTTCATTTTAAACAGGGCCACAAACAAGTTCATCAGAGAACACAAAGTTGAACGGAAGTTTTGATTCTTTCTGGCCTGCAGTATGCATTTAATGAAACTGTCTGAGGCTGTTGTACTCTGTTCTCTGGATGGAACCTTTAAATATAAGCTGCCTAACTGAAGTGAATAATTTAAAATATTGTCTCATATTAACGCCTCCCCAACACAACTATGTTTTTGTTTTAGCAATCAATATTTAGATGCTAGTATGAAATTGTTCTGTTTTCTTCGCCAGTTGTTCATGGCCAACAAGTATCTCGAGACTCATCTAAATACCATGTCTTTTCTCCCCACAAGCTGAATTGGATCACCAAATGGAGTGAGTTTACAAACTCCACTCTACATGCAGTTGACTGTCACGTTGTGGAAGAAGCATTTTCTGGAAATGCAATGACAGAGCACGCTCACCAACTCAATTTTACTGCTAATGTAATTCCAGACCCCTCTCCCCCATCCCCCACCCCATTCCCCCCTCCCAGCCCCCATGTCCACCATTCACCCTTAGTCTTGTTCAAAGTTAGCATCATTTCTAGTGGTCTAGTTGCAAGTGAAACATTCAACCAGTCACTAACAAAACTCCAGCGCGTTACTCTAAAACAGTGTATATATACAGATGAACAATGGAATAGTTGCCAACAGAACAATGTCCTTTTGAGGAATTTTCTTGTTTGAACTGTAAGTTGCTGAAGAAGGGGGCACATTAGGTGTCCCAAGGTCAGTAGGTAAATACTGGCATAGCGCCTGGCTCCTGGTTGATTTGTCTCTAGCAGATGTTGGTGTTGGTTAGAATGCCGAACCTGTGATGGCATTCAGCTGCTTCATTAGGCCCTCCAGACTGGCCATTTGCTCACTCAAGTCATCTTGCTCATACACCTGAATGAGGAAACATGACAGCCATGTTTTATACTGTGCAGACATTCTGAAGTGTGGAAAAGATAAAACACTACAATGAAAGTGTCTCCTCAAAACAAAAAAAACTATCAGAACTTTTCTAAATACTGTTTAATATACCTTGTGACTTACTTATCACTCTCGGAGTGCAACTCAGTTCCAAACTCAAACTATAGTACAACATGAGATGAAAAGATATCTGTACAATTCACCATTTTAGACTTTAAAAATATATTTTCAGATCCTTCTATTACACTGTTTTATATAAAATGTTAAATATATGGAATGTTGAACAATGGCAAGTTGCATGGTGATATCTAGGTGGCTGTTGAATGGAGATATCACTTTGGGAGATCCAAATATTTAATGTGAAGCCAACTGCCAAGTAAACTTACAATTGTTGACATAAAATATGTGTACTTGAAATGTGAGTGTTTTAAACTCTGACTGAATGGGAAAGAAACATTCAATTTGTAGCCTTATCTGCCAAACCAATGTCCATCACTTACTGTATTCCTGTTTGCCTGGTATTGCTAAATCTGTCTCTATTGTATTCTATGAATAAAAGCAACCGCAGAGAAATGTCATCCTGTTGACAATATGCTGATCAGTTGTAATCTTACTGAGGGGAAAATGCTACCAAAATGGGAAACAACAATGTCACTACTTTTTCTTCCAGCATCAGCTGTTTTGCTTTCAAAATGTAACTAATTCTATTGACCTTACATTAGAATGATCCTCTGTCCTGTGGCTCTCCTCTGTGACCTCTGGGGCTGTTGGGACGGAAACAGGAAGCAGCGGAGATCTCGCTTTACCAGCCAGTCCCAGTGAGGCCGTCTTACCATGACTCAGCGTAAGATTAGAACCTGTGATCAAAGCCCGCAAAAAAAAGGCCAGAGTTAGACGACATATAACCCTCAATTGCCAGTCAGTCAGTCAATACAATTGTATGAAATAATTGCACACACAAAGTCGGACTTGTAAGGCATCCCAATTAGAACTGGAAGCCTGCAAAATGCGTGAGGGATCAGCAGAGCACACAAACCTGGATGAAGTGGGGATAGATACTCTCACAAAGTGGATTGTGGAGTGGTTCTCCCTATTTGTCACTCCAGAGCACTTCACATGTACACATGTAGCAGAAGGTGGTAGCTCGGCTGAACACGGTTTGATTGGAACCTGGAAGACACCCCAGCACCTTAACTTGCATATCTACCTGCCAAAGGGAAAAGCACATGACACTATGGCCACCCACCGAGACCAGGCCAGTCATGGGAATGGCTTCAGGGGCTGTGCCATGGGGTTCTCACAATGGAAGGTGGCAGAGTTCGTCAGGCAGAAGAGGAGTGAGCTTTATTCATGGGACCTGAAAGAGAACGATGGGATCTTTGCCACTTCCCATTCTACACATTCAGATTAATCACAATTATGTGACTGAGATCCACACGTAAATCTGAAAAAGGTCTCGATCTGCCAGCTCTGGGATACACTGGGCAGGTTAAAATCACAAATGATGGAATGTGCGAGGAGTGGGAGGAATGTGAAGCTGAGCTGGTTAGGAGTCATGGCTCAGTTCTCCAACAAACTGCCCAGCTCCCAAAATAGTTTAAAATCCCCAAGTCTCATTTCTCAACCCGTCATCACCCCGATGCTTTTGCATGTCACCAACTCTAGCCCCTCCCACGTATTCTCCATATTCAATCACACAACTGTCACTAAGTGCAGTCTTTAAGAGCTATGTAAAAGCAATAGAAATTATCGTAAATTATTGGAAGAACATTAACTGCCTAAAAGTAAAAAAAAACCCTTAATTCAAACACCTGTTATTAATGCTTGAAAAGAAAACAACTCCAGTGGGGAATCAACTATGACGATAGAAATTGCCGATATTGTTTGTAAGAGAAAAAATACATTAAAGATATTTAGTGTTTTTTAAGAGCCTTTTTGAAGTTTGTCCTTCTTTTAAATTGACCTCTCATGGATTAAAAGTGATCTTTCTCTGCACATTCTCTGTAGCTGTACCAGTATATTTTGCATTCTGTTCTACTACTCTGATGTACATTTGTAAGGTATGATTTATAGGGTCAGAGAGTCTTGAGAATGTACAGCCCCACAGAAAAAGACCCTTCGGTCCAACTTGTCCATGCCAACCAGATATCCTAAATTAATCTGGTTCCATTTGCCAGCATTTGGCCCATTTCCTTCTAAACCTTTCCTGTTCATATAACCTATCCAGATGCCTTTTAAATGTTGTAATTTTAACAGCCTCCACCTGGTTAGCATGTAAAACAATACTTTTCATTGTATCTCAGTATATGCAACAGTAATAAATCAAATCAAAAATCAATAGATACCTGCTGAACTGAAGCCAACAAATTTTGAAACTCTGCCAAGCATTCATAATGGCTACAGTTAGCATAACAATGTCTCCAGCTACATTGCTGTAGGCTGATAGAGAAGAATGTTGCTCATTTCCATTTCAAGGCAGAGTGCCTATTAATCAATGGAAGGGAACATTTGCAGAAATTTCGTTTCATTTCAAAAAGCAGGGGGGCTTTAACTGCCAGGGTTGTCTGTTGATTTAAGTCACAGCACAAAACATGACAGCAAAAGATGACAGGACATTTTTGTTTTGGAAATGTAGTAATTCATGACTGCAATTACAGAATGCTGATCAATGCAAAGGTAAAAAATTATATTTGCACATGAGATCTTTCTCATGCATTAAAAACAAATTTAGATTACAATAAAGCATTGAAAGGTGAAGTGCCAAATATTTAATACTTAGGTTTCAGAATGTCCCCAATTCTTCAGCAGGCTGTCCTGATTGTCCATTAACACTCCAAGGGTGGACTTTTTTTTAGGATTTACGAAATCCAGACCACCACCTTAAAATAGTGTGTGGGAGGAAAATTAACATTGTTGCGGTCCTCAAAAAGGGGAACCTGACCTTTGAAGAGGTCATAGAGTCATACTGCATAGAAACAGGCCCTTTGGTCCAACCAATCCATGCTGACTGTAATCCCAAACTAAACTAGTCCCACATTTCTCCAAATATTTCTTATTCATGTCCTTATCCACTTGTCTTTTAAACATCATAAAATTGTACCCGCATCCACACTTCCTCACATGAATCACTCTATGTAAAAAAGTTAACCCTTATGGATTCTAAAAATCTTTCTCCTCTCACCTTAAAAATATGTCACCTAGTCTTGAAACCTCCCACCCTAGGGAAAAGCCACTTGCTATTCGCCTTACCCATGCATAAAACCTGAAGGCCATAAGACACAGGAGCAGAAATTAGGCCACACAGCCCTTCGAATCTGCTCCGCCATTCAATCGTAGCTGGTAAGTTTCTCAACCCCATTCTCCCACTTTCTCCCCGTAATCCTTGACAAGCAAGAACCTATCTATCTCCATCTTAAATATATTCAATGACCTGGCCTCCACAGCCCTCTGTGGCAGTGAATTCCATAGATTCACCACTTTCTGGCTGAAGAAGTTTCTCCTTATCTCCTTTCTAACAGATCTTCCCTTTACTCTAAGGCTGTGCCCTCGGGTCCTAGTCTCTCCTACCAATGGAAACATCTTCCTAACATCCACTTTGTCCAGGCCATTCAGTATTCTGTAAGCTTCAATTCGATCCCCCCTCATCCTTCTAAACTCCATTGAGTATAGACCCAGAGTACTCAAACATTCCTCATATGCCCTTCATGATTTTAAAAAATCTCTATAAAATCACCCTTCAGTCTCTTAGGCTCCATGGGTAAAGGTCCCAGCCTATCCATGTAATTCAAACCCTCCATTCCCAGCAACATCCTGGTAAATCTTTTCTAAACAAACTCTCCAACATAATAATATCCTTCCTATTGCAGGGTGATCAGAACTGGACATAGAAGAGGCCTCACCAACGTCCTGTACAACCTCGACACGATGTCCTAACTCTTATTCTAAAAGCTGTGAGCAATGAAGGCAATTGTGCTAAACACCTTCTTAACTACCTTGCCTACATGTGATGCAAACATGTACCTGAACCCCTAGGTCTCTGTTTTACAACACTACTCAAGGCCCTACTTTTAATTGTATAAGTCCCGCGCTTGTCAGTTTTACCAAAATGAAATATCTTGCTTTTATCCAAATAAAACACCATCTGTCATTCCTCAGCCCATTGACTCAATTGATCAAGATCTCTTTGCAAGGTTGGGTAATTTTCTTTACTGTCCACTATACCACCAAATTCAGTGTCATCCACAAACTTACTAACCATGTTTTCTATTTTCTCATGGAAATATTTATATAAATGACAAATAAAAGTGGACCCAGCACCGGTTCCTGTGGAACACTGCTGGTCACAGGCCTCCAGATTGAAAAACAATTCTATACCATCACTGTCTGCTACTGTGAAACCAATTTTGTATCCAATTGGCAAGCTCATCCTGAATCCCATGTGATCTAACTTTACTAGTGGTCGAATGTGCTGCATTCAAGCATTATCAATCCATGAAAAGGCTACACAAGAGTGGTGTAGCATCAGGAAGGCAGAGGGAAGTTGACTTTTCCAGGCTTAAATAAAAATTAAGTTCAGGGTTTTCCAAACCGATACACATTGAGAGGTGAAAATCCAGATCAAAATGTTGGGCCTGCAAATCAACACATCAGTCAATTTTTTGACATGTATGTGAGATTTTTTTTCCATGGCCTTACATGGAAAGATCTGTGAGATGGCCATGGCCAAAGCAATGTGAGATACACACCTGATGGTACAGTTGGGTGATAATCTCCCCTTGGTCATTCTGAGAAAGTATGCCATGATCAGCAGAAACATTTACTGGCATAATGCTACGTTGCTCCCTGTCTGGAGTGAGTGCTTTTTGAAAAACCTTTTTCATATATGCTCTTCTCCTATTATATTTCTGTCCCGCTGACTGTTAATGTTTAAATGATAGTGGGTTTCCTAGGAATTTTATTTTACAAATCCCGTATGCTTTATTTTAATATGACATCCTGACCATGCTCTAATAACACAAAGAGAGTGAGAAATACAAAATTAGGAAGAAAAAAAAATTATAAAAAATATAACTAGGATTGAAAAAAAGAGAACATGTAATTACGAAGGTCTCTGCCTATTTCACTGCCTTTTGCTGCAAAGTGTGTTTCTGTACATCCATGACAAATCAGCAGACTGAAGGCACAGCAGGATCATGCTGTGAAAAATGGGAAATCACAACTCTGATTAGGAGCAGTTTAGGCCTTATCAAAACAAAGTTAAAGTTCTTTCATAAAATGCATTTACTAAAACAGGCTGTATTAACGAGCATAGAAATTTGCATGCAATAAGATTACCGCAAGGATAGAAAAGATCACAGGTCCCTAAAATTCTTGGGCTCTGTCAAGAGAAATGATGTGAGTGATTCCACAGGGCATAAAATATATCCACATACGTGTATCGTGATTAGCTGCATTTAAATTGTATCCAATTACTGGCACTCAAACAACCAAGCCTGATCAAGATCACCAATGTGGAGATTATCAAAAGTTACTATAACTAGAGCAGTCAACCACATTACTGCGTACCTGGAGTAACACGTAAACCAGACAGGTAAGGATGGTCAATTTCTTTCCCGAAAGGACATTAGTGAACCAGATGCTATTTTAGGACAATCACTGATAAAATCTTGGTCACTATTACTGATACGGAGTTTACAACACTAGATTTTACTGAATTTAAATACCATCAGCTGTCAAGGTGAGATTTGAATCTGGGTTTTTTTTAATATTCATTCATGGGATGAGGGCATTGCTGGTTAGGCCAGCATTTATTGCCCACCTCCAATTTCCCAGAGAGTAGTTAAGAGTCAACATTTGT